TATATATATATATATATATATATATATATATATATATATACTATATACTATATACTATATACTATATACTATATACTATATATATACTATATACTATATACTATATATATACTATATATATACAAAATATATACTATATATATATGTATATATATGTATATATATGTATATGTATATGTATATGTATATGTATATGTATATATATATATATATATATATATATATATATATATATATATATATATATATATATATATATATATATACTGAGTGGTTTGTATTCTTCTTCAGACATTAAAATTTTAATAAAAAGTTTAAAATATTAAAACCGTCCAAACGTTTCTATTTCTACGGTTTTAATATTTTTAACTTTTTATTAAAATTTTAATGTCTGAAGAAGAATACAAACCACTCATTATTAATACCAGACATGATACCTCAAACACCATATATATATACATATTTACAAACAATTGATTTTAGTTTTGAAGCTAAAATACTTTTAGCCGATTTTAAATCACTGGATAGGCCATACACGAGAACGAGTGTTTTGAATAGCTTAAAATACGACAACAAAAGAATACCAATTAGGATGAACAATTATATAATCATACTAATTAGAATGAACAATTATATAATCATGCTAATTAGGATGAACAATGATATAAAGAATACTAATGAAGACGAGTTTTATCAGATATAAAGTCACTTCACGTGACATATTATGGTTGACATGATTTGCCACAAGGTTTATGAATTTTAAATGCCATGCCATATATGAACATAATAGCTACATCTCTGAACTTAGGTTTCAATATTGATCTAGGCTATTTTGCTCATGCTTGTCTGACTGGTTTTGCCAAGTTTGTTAAAGATACTTGACCTTTGTTGACATTAGTCGTCTTTGATTTCTGTGATGAGTGCATGTATAAACGAAGAAAAAAATCCACAGACACTGCACAAATTTAATTCAGTCTCAGAGTTAATAGGCTTAATATGAAAAAGGCGAAATTTTGGCTTGTTTGAAATAGCATAGTTACAAGGGGTATAGTTGTGATACAAGAAGATAAAAATATAAATATGTGAGTTTCCTGACTTTCCTCAAATAAATTGTTTCCGAAACTGAAAGAGAATTGGTTCTTCGAAACTGGTTTATATTGGTCGTATTAATTCATTTCTGATGGCTTATGAGTTATGAATTCTGGTTTCGGCTACACAGATGCAGACTGTAAATTAGCCAGATTTCCCTTGAAATTGCAACTATGTATTTATCTGCTTTGTCTTTGGTTACGACTGTTTGGTTATTATTTTAAGTACTGCATGCATTTCTAAACATTTGGAATGAAACATAAAAAATGTGTGATATACTGATTGATATGTGATTATGTCTGAACATGTTGGTAACTTCTGGCAACCGTCGTGTGAATATTTCTCGAAGCATGCATTTGTTAATCCATGGACCAAATCCAAGATAAAGCTTTAAAAATTGAGTGGTTTGTTTGTGGTTTCCTGAATGCAGTTGTTTTTGGATTCCAATTGAAAGATAAGTTTGTAGAGTGTCTAACAGATGAAACATAAATATAATGAAAGTATTTTCAAAAACTCAATAATTCATGAAGAAAACACAAAGAAAAATCATATATGTGATAGAGATTTCCCTTGATTTACATAAACTTTAACTTTGAGTTTTTTGACAATTACTTCGCCAATCAATTTTGAAGCAATTTAAAAAAGTGCATGTTTTATCAGACCTAAAGATACTCGGCTTCGCCTCGTATCTTTATATTTGAAACACTGCTGCTCGTGTACATATAAAGAAATCTTGGAATTGATCATGGCGTTCAACTTTATGAACTGATCTTGTATCAGCCTATACATTTCCAAGTATAATATATTCGTTACTGATGTTTCAGGATAGAATTATTTCATGATGAATTATTGCAATATCTTCTCATCACGATGCGGATCACATTCCTGTTGCGGGTAAAAAGTCGCGCAATTATTGCAGACATTATTATGCTGACATGCCAGCTACTTTTGATTCACTTCCTCAATTTAATTCCCAATATATGCTTTTCTTCATGTGTAAATTCTAAAACAACAAACGTGGTGTTTTAATTCATACTTTTTTTTAATTCACAAACGCCGTAAGTCGCGCAATGCAGAATGCGCAAATATCATGACATTTTCGGTATAGACTAGAATTCAATCCTGAGGTCCACTTTTCGGGCAAAGATACACAAAATTATAACCTGTGTCGATCATGCATGTGGGCGATGTATGTCATCGGCTCAAGTGAGTTAAGATGAACATTTTTCAAATATTTTCCTTTAATATAGTCATGAGAATCCGAATGGGTTGATTGTCAAGGCACATTCATGCCAATTCATGCAGTGTGTTATCAGTAAATAGTTGCAGAAGTAAAGTCCAAGGTCAAGGATGTTTATTAAAAAAAAGTATGCTCATGTAAGCCGGGAAATGGAAGAATTAATAGAACACAATTAATTAAGGTATGGTTTTGATATTTATACACGTATAATATGATATTAGAAATATACTAAATATTTATCAAGTGAATGATTTCTTAACAAGTTTATTCATGTTTCGATATTTCAACTTAGAAAATCTACCTGAAATATTTTATGAGCTTTTCAAAACTAACAACGTGGTTCATCACTACAATACAAGAAAAATATCTCCCCTTCATAAATCTTATAATAGAACTATGTAAAACATACTCTTTCGAACAAAGGAGTTGATATTTGGAATGGTTCAGAAAAAAAATACAAGCATATTACTATTAGATCACCTCTCACTTTTAAAAGACAAATTAAAAAACACTTCTTACAGATTTACAATACTTAAAACTACACAAGAAGTTTGTTCTTCTTACTGCCAATTGTTTTTACTGTCATGTAGACACGATGCTATTTTGAAATTAATTTTGTACAACTATATAATCTATATCATTAACGTTGCAGTTCCCTATATATAGTAGTATTTCTAGTAGGCTCCTATACTCCTATAGCCCTATATAATAGAAGTAAATCACAAAAAAAAATGTAAATACTCAATTGTGTGGGCGAAATAAATTAAATATAATTTGACAATTTGTTGGCAAAAGGTATCCACCAAATTTTAAAACTTGTACATAGCCTATATCTTTTGCCAACAAATAATAAATTAGCATCCACACCGGGCAAGCTGAAAAATTTGCGGGTTTGATTCCCACCGTTCATGCACACTCAGAGACAGGCACAATTAGCATTTTTTAAAGTATACACAAATTTTCAGTTCAATCTTGTAAAGAAAGAATATATGTAGTTACGTATATCCTAAAATAACTGTAGTCTTACCATACTATATAGTTTATATGATATTTTTTTTAATTTGGTGATGATATTGAATTATGATAAGAAAGTTAGTGAAAGGAAAACTAAGAAAACGGTGTAAATCATATATCAGACGTAATAGATCGAGTGATCGACTGAGGTTTACCAGAATATTTCGGTACACGTAAAAAATATATCCTGTTAATTAAGAGAAAATTGTGGTACAATTGATTATTGGTAAAGTATTTAGTTTTGAGCGAATGCGGCCAGAGATGCTACTGAGTCTGAGACTGTATTAAAAACTTTTTATTAAATAATTATGGCTCCAAATACATCATTAACAACTATATTTACAATAATTACACTAGCAAATAATTGGGAAAAGATACACTAATTTAAAATAACAACAATAAAAGAACCCAATTGGGAAAAGTGCGAACGGGACTCCAAGTCTCATGCGGGGCACTTCCCCTAAAAAAAGGTAAGTTTATGTCCTATGGCAGCAACCACGTACGAGGGTCCATGTACACGGTTGATCAACATAAAAAATTTGAGTATTTAAAAGAATAAAAACAGATGTACGTCGTGTGTAAAAATGTTAAAAACATAACTACGTCATGTGTGAAAGTGTTATCAAGTTAAGCATTGCAAAAGTAACCAAAAGTATCATGATGAAAAGTTTTGAAAGTTGCGCATGCGTACAACGCACCTTAACACTTTGGCATTTTGGGTTTTCTAATCGTTTCTGGGCCAAGTTGTGCGAAAAGCCGAATAGAGGATACATGGGAAAGTAATCTTTTCCGAAACTTTTCGAAACTAACCCAGAACGGTTTGCGAGCAAAGGCGTAGCCAGCCCGACGATTCAGTCCCGCTATGTAAAAATTGCCATGTATAAAAACTATCAACACAGTAAATTTCTAAAGAAGTGAATATAAATGACAATGAGTTGAAATTTACATAGCTGAACCAAATCATTGGGCTGGCAGTATGTTTAGCACACTGAACAACAAAAAAGCCATCATGCATAACACCGGTTGCTTATTAAATCACGAGAAATCATTAACTTGATAATAGCAATTTACATTTGAGGTCATCGTCAGCTCATTCGAGGCTGGGTGGGATTCCTTTAACGCTATTGGTTAAATCGCTGCGTCCAATGCGATGAAAGACATAATTCAAAAGACATAGGATGCACCTTTCCCCACTAAGATGGTATCTTTGTAAGGCATCGACAATCTCATGAGTTAGAGCGCCATGATCATGGAATTGTATTGCACCTAAAATTCCCTCGTCGCATTTATTGAGTTCAGCGATGAAATCCTGGAGCTGTTGAGGATTCAACTCTTCAATAATTCCACGAACGTTTGACCAAACTAGTCGGGAGGTCTGTTTGATCTACAAAAATAATACTTATGGTCAAGTGTTGGGATATACGGCTATTTTCGCTACTACAAAGGCTACAATAGATCGAGGACCTGCCAAGGTGTTTGTAAATAAAATGAGGGACAACCATGAAATCTGCAGCGCGACCTAAAGCCGATTTTCCACTAAGCGGAATTTTTTCTTTGTCTTGTGATTTCTTGGGTGGAACTAATTAGAAAAGACACAGAATAATTCCGCTCCGCGCGCAAACGTCCGCCTAGTGGAAAATCGGCTTTTATTAAGGAATTACTAGGTTTGAAAAGAACGTATACATGAACTTTTAAGCTGCATTATAAGTGAAGAACATACTAAACGAAGATAGCGTTTCATGTTGTTGCAATTTTTCAGGGACGTGCTGGGGTCTTGAGAAGGACGACGAATGAGCAACGTCTGATGGGGCCCAGGCCCAGTGATGGATGGACAAAGATTGGGGGGGGGGGGTTATTACTGATCAAACATGAAACATTTCAGTCGCTAATTAATCTTTTTTTCCAAAATTGTTGGCGAGCGGGGCCCATGATGGCAGGGCCCCACAACGAGTTCTCGTTGGCTCGTCCCTAGCCATCACGTCCCGGCTGATGAAAATTGGTCAAATGATGATGAATTTCCTTGAATTATACCTTCGTAGTTTTTGCACAAGTGTTACACCGTGGTGGGTTTCCAAGGGGAATTGACTGTTCTGGAAGAACAGCTTCTTGTGATGACATTTGAAAAGATCTGAGCGCTCTGTCGTCTAGTACGAGCAATGGTGGTTCTTTCTGGTTTGCCTGCGGTTTACTCGTTTGTGGATCTCGTGGTCGACGTGCAGATGGATGAGACAAATCTTGGTCAAGAGACCGTGTTTCCACATCTCTATATCTTTCGTTGTTTTGCGTTGTGCCTTCTGTGTATATATCGTCGCGCCTTCTGTGTGTATATCTTTCGTTGTTTTGCGTCGCGCCTTCTGTGTCGGAGACCACGATATTGCCATTTTCTATTAGGCATCCCCTGTGTCCGTTCGACTCTTGTTGTAGTCTATATCTTCCGTTGTTTTGCGTTGCATCTTCTGTGTCCGAGGACACGATATTGCCATTTTCTGTTCGTCCCCTGTATCCGCTCGTCTCTTGTCGTTGCGGGTTGTTTTCTCGAGTAAAGAGGTAACACCATACGGGCCATATATCGTCGTCGCGGTCAATATAAAACTGATTCAGGATATCATGAATGTTCCTCTCATGTCGTTCCAGCACACTGGTGTCGCCTTTAAGTATATAGAAAGTAAATGCATTTGTGAAATTTGACAACGTCAATATATTGTTAACACACAAACTTGAAACAAAACTTCGATTGATAGATGCAACCAACTGGAAAATACAAAAACTCTGACGTTTCTACTTTCCGACGAAATTCTCCTTGATTTTTCATCTCTATCAATCGATTTTGTTATTACTGGTAGTTTGGGACTACCGGCACAGACCACAGACCATTCAAAAGCTTTTGAACAAAGCACGCAAATTGAGAAATCTAAGCTGATTTTTTAGCTGATATGAAGATTTATCTCTGGCATCGGCAAATAGTTGATCCGCTGCGAGTCACCGACAAATCACGATATTTTGCGAGAACCGGGTTCAATAATTATTTTATCATTCTCAGCTCTTATAAAGCTTCGTTTTATCTTTCCTTATAATAAGACATTCCTGTATAGGAGTTTGTATGCACAGACATCATATATCTAATAACTGGATGATATTTACGAGACTCGGCGATAAAAAGCAAACAAGACGGCAAAATATGGCTGAAATTAAATGAAATAAAATGTCTTGTATTTATAGAAAACAATGACAATCTTATGAAATCTACAATAATTATATTAAATTAAGCATAGTTTTTATCCCATAATATTTTTTTTCAGGAAATAAGAAAATTTAATTTCTGCCAGGTATGTAAACTATTTTATGCATAATTAGCAGTTGACCTGGGGTGGTACATGGTGGTCATTTTCTTGTCAAATATTATACTTAGACAATTTTTTCCGTCCAATAATCACCCCTAAAAGCAACCTTTCTAAACACTATAAGCACTTCAGAAAGGCTGTCGTTTTTACTTTTCGGAAGTTAGAGCTATGTCGGCACTGCCGTTTCAGAGCGGGGTCATTTTCAGGACTTTCGTCCTGGATTCAGGTTTTGGCACATATGCCATGTTGACCGCCATGGTCAGTTTACCCTAAAACAGTTGAGATTATCTGTGCTAAATGAAACGCATACAAACTCCTATATAGGTCCTAGACTATTCAGCAAAGGGAGCTGCCATTGTTTACAAAAATTGAAGGCAATGCGCATGCTCAGAGTATTATTTGTAGCTGAGCAACATTTTCAACAAATGCGCATGCTCAGACTATTATTTGCACGCTGTTATTTGCAGGTAAATTAACCAATCAAAATTGAGAATACTATAAAGTGAATGATAATATTGGATATTTGAAAGAAATAGAACGCTTATTAAAAATTTAGCGAGTCTAGATAGCTTTTTTGGCTCCATAATTATTTTACCTGCCATTGTTTTGTATAAAAGTTCTAGGACATCGTCTCTTCGTGTCTGAGTTAGAATATTTCTCAGACTTCCTAGAGCGTTGTTGTTCACTTGGCCATCAATAATAATATCATCAACTGGTGGGAAATGTCCATTCATCAGATAGTGAATCACATGGATAAGTCTTATTATGACTGCAATTGCAATCGCCATCCTAAACTGAACAAAAGGCAATGCAATTACTAATGAGTGAAAATTGCTTCAGGATATGTTGCCAGCGAGCCTAGTCTATGGCCTAGTCCCAGGCAATCTCTCCCTCTTCGCTGTTATATAATTAGCTCAAAAGGCCCTTTTATACTTGCAATTTTGCTGCGATTTTCCTAGCTCTTCTGATTCATTTGATTCTTCTGATGCACGAGTAGATGAGTTATGAATGTTCTGAGTATACGGCGTGGCACACCTGTGCGATTGTTTTATCCGGCAGTTTTTAACCAATCAGAGTGTAGTGAATGGACCTCAGAAGTGCTTAATACATGACGTATTATTAACATCCCAAAGTAGAATGCACTGTACATTCCAGAAGTCCTCTGTATTAAAATTGCGTCATGTACTACCTCTAAAAGACCATTTACACTTGCAACTTTTGCGGCAATTTTCTTCTTCTGATGTATGTAAACGAGTGGATGAGTTATGAATATTCAGATGAGGGTAGATACAGCTATTTCAAGTAAGCCGGGTTGTCTCCGAGCAAAGCGGAAAAGTCGAATATGAGCGCGAAAGGCTTTCTGGAAATCGCTAGCAAACAAGTTATTTTGCCAGCGATTCCCAGCAAGCCTTTCGCGCTCGTATTCGACCTTTCCGCTTTGCTCGGGGACAACCTTAATTAGCCATTCCGAAGTTGATAGTGGACTGGGGACGAGTGTTAAAAAGTGCCCAAATTAAGAAATGAACCAAATCACTAAAAAGACCACCTCAAAATTAGTAATTATTGATGAACATCTTTTATGGAATCATCAAATCCAAAATATTGTCACAAAAGCTTCAAAAGGAACAGGAATGATGCGACGAATAAAACAGTTTGTTCCCAAATCAACCTTAGTAAAAATATATAATGCCATTGTGTTATCACATTTTGATTACTGTAGCTTGGTTTGGGATAACTGTTGTGATTACTTAAAAAACAGACTTCAGAAGTTACAAAACAGAGCGGCCCGAATCATCACTGGTAAAACTTATGAAGTTAGTTCTGAGGATGTTTTAAAAGAATTAGACTGGCAACCTTTAAACCAACGCTATAAAACCAATAAATCGATTTTTATGCACAGAATACGAAACGAAAAAATGCCATCATCAATTTGCAACATGTTCAAAATTAAAATAAATGACAGATACGATTTAAGAAGTAACAATAACAACTATGATTTTGGAAAACCTGAAACAAATTTTATGAAAAAGAGCTTCAGTTATTCAGCTGCATCCCTTTGGAATGACTTATCAACTACAGCAAAAGAAAAAGGCATTAGCCTTAACAAATTTAAACGTATTCTTGACGGCACTTGATTCCTTTTGGTAACTTTGTAAATATTTAATAGGATAGGATATTTTTAGATACAAATGTAGTGCATGCAATTATTAAGTTCGTTATGTTTTCTCTGTTTTTGTGTGTATATTTGTGTTATTATATTTATATAGCTTGTAAATACTGTAATAAACGGCCTCTTGAAAAACAGGTGCCTACGAGCCCTGAAGAGCTACCGTTTTAAAATATTTTTAAATAATAATAATAATAATAATAAGTATACAAAGTTGGGAGTTAGGTAACATCGAGTTGGATTCGAGTTCGAGTTCGAGTTGGGCTTCGAGTTGGACTTCGAGTTGGACTTCGAGTTAAACTTCGAGTTGGATATTTTTCTTTACTTTTCGGGAAAATGACAATTGTATTTCACCCAAATTGTTTTGCTGCGGAGCGAGCGAGCCTGAAGCAAATTTACACATATATATATGGGGGGATTTTATCTTAAACCATTGTTTACCGCAGCTGTAGGCCTACATTGTGATCGTGCGCGATCGGAAATGCTCAGTAACTTTTTGTCGATTGTGCTTCCACAACACCTTGTAGTAATTTTGAGTTACAGATTACAGTTACAGATATTACACAGCACACTCCCTATCAGGGTTTTTCAGTGACTGGTTATATTAGGACCGGAACTGACATGGTTTCCGCACAATTTTTAAATGTTGTAATAAATCTTTTTACAGAGATACCTTTTTCATATCATGTACTTCATTGTTTGTATTCTTAATTCGAAACAAAAGCACTCGTACCCTAATTTATTATATAGTAGACAGTGAGACACCGAAACAATACACAGTGAGATATTTTCCATAACTAGATCTCCACTAGTGAAGATGTCGATTAAGTGTTCATTTTCTTTGTTATTTTTACTAACGACAATATAATGAAAAGAACATTAAATACACGGTGGCTTGAAGTTTCATCTCGTGGTGAAAACTGAAACAATATTTTTTACTCACTCAAACGTAAAATTTATATCTTCGCACCGCCTTTAGTCTGCGTTAGCGGACTAACTCAGACGCCCCCCCCCCCTCCGGCCCCCCTCTCCCACTGGAGCTGCGGAGAAACAGCAGACTAATCTCAGAGGCAGTGCCATTCTCGTACCCAGAGCCCTTCTTACGCGCGATCAACGGAGCGCGACAAGGGGCTCTGGCCAAATCCATATCAAACTGGCATCTGATAGGCTACAACGAAGGTTATTGTTCTAATACAGGATATATTCTATTACCATGTTTTTATGATATCCGGTTATGGATTTGGCCTGAGCCCCTCGTCGCACCGCGCGTAAGAAGGGCTCTGGGTACGAGAATGAGGCAGTGCTGATCAGTCTGCTATCGCATGCTACACCCTGTCTCCGTACCCAGCCGTTTCTTTGTAAAAAAACAGCGATGCGCATATGACGAGTTCACATGAAGTATTGTAGTACTACACCGACGTCTAACATCCTCTATATAGTACTCTCCTTGATCTTTCAAGACTAATAATGCAGCATATCCTCACACGTAGTATTAGGGAGGCTGGACGCGCAGGGGCGGGAATATTAAAAAAGGTAGTTATTTTTAGATCATAGGCATATCCTTAATCTTTAGAAACTTTTACAATTAAGGTAATCCCTAATACTACGTGTGAGGATATGCAGATTAGTACTGATAGTTTCGAATACATATTTCGAACGAAACAACACTTAAAATGTACAAATTTTAATATATTCTTTTCCAAAATACACATAGTAATTACTGTATAAGATGTACTACAAAGTGCATTATAAAAACGATTTACAATAAAGTAAATTTACATTGCTACGTTTCATTCTCCATACTTTTATAAACGTAATAACACGTGTTTGAAGTAAACATGAATCGGAATTGTTCGGAAATTACCAAAACATTCGGAAAC